TGGGGGGAGAGGGTGAAGGTCGTACCCAGGCTCTGGGGCTGAGCTCCGGGGGCTCCACACCTGCACAAAGTTGCTCTCAAAGATGGAGAAGTCCCGCAGCTGGTCGAACTCGCCGCTCAGGAGGTGGCGCTGGAGCCATCCGGGACCTTCCAGGGAACAGGCTGGATCCAGAAGGCGTCCTAGAGGGGCGAAGTTCAGGTCAGGCGGGCAGGTCAGGCCGGGGCGGCAAAGGGCAGGGCAAAGATTATCAGCCCTCTCCATGGCCGGCCCCACACCCTCCTCGGTACCCTCACTGGTTCCCACACTAAGTGCAGCCCTTTCTGGCCTGGCTTTGTCTCTCACCTGCCAGCCCACTCGATCCCATTTCACCCACTGCACCGAGGGCCAATTTAGACTTGTGGCCCCCATAGTCGCAACGCCCCGCCCCTCGTTGGGCACGGAGGGAGGAGCCTTAGGGAGAAAAAAAAAGGGCGGTAACTATGGGGAGGATGACGGCATAACGCGGCGGGCCAGGTGTGGTGACATCACAGAGGACGCTATGGTGGTGACGTCACCGAAAGGACGGGCCCGGGGGATCTGAACATACAGGCTGCAGCCCTCCAACATCAAGTGCGGGTTGAGACCCGCACCAGTACGCACGCGCAGGAGTTAGCGCAGGCGCAAGAGCCCTCACACTCGTACAGCGCGACGATCCCCCCCCCCCGCCCCGTTACTCCCAGTGTGCACTGCGGCGTAAAAATTTATAAGTGGTAGGTAGGCGTCGTAATGGCGGCGCCCGGCGCGAGCGCAGCTCGCCTGCTCCTCCTCTTGCTGATAGTGGCAGCAGCGCCCAGTCGGGCCAGGGGCAGCGGCTGTCGGGCTGGGACCGCTGCACGTGGGGTGAGTGCTCGTTAGCGCAGCGTAGAGGGAGGGCCGACGGAAGTCATGGGTTTATAGGTGGATTAAGGTGGCTACAAGGTTGGGCGGTAGCGAGAGGGTAGCGGGAGGAGAGAGAACCCTGGAAATGCCGGTGCAGGAAAGGCTTGACTGGGCGCGAGCGGAAAGAGGAGCGCCGCCCGGTGGATCCTGGCACCTGGGCCTTAGGTGCGATGGGAAAGGGGCGGCGCCGGCGGACAGGTGGGGGCAAGTAAGGGCTCGTCTATGTGAATATTCATGAGGGGGCGGGCCGGGCGGAATTCTGGGGGATCTGACGCCAGCTAAATTAAAACGAAAAAAGGCAGGGCCGGGGATTTAGCTCAGCTTCACCGTGCCTGCCTTGCAAACGCAAGGTCCTTCCTGAGTTCGATCCCCGGTACCCCCGCAAAGAGAGGCGTTGGGGCCACTGGAGAGACCGGAGAGGAGTTCTATGTTCTAGATTTACATGAGAGAACCGGGTCGCTCAGATGCTCAGGTGGATGGGCGTTAGTAGGTGGAGGGAGGATGCAGAGGTAGGAGAAATGTAAAGGTAAGGAAAAGGAAAGAGTTAGAATCTTGAATGTAGTTGACAGGAGCAGAACTCAGGCGGCGTCTTGGTTATTGAGGCTAAGGTGAAAATGAGGACTTTTGGATATTAGCATATTAATATGCCAAGGAGGCCCCGGGAGGAGGGTAGTCTCTAACTCATGAATATTTATGACGTGAGGAGTGAAAGCGATCTAGGAAAGGAGGGCAACTCAAAGCATTTTGTAACATTTTGCTTTCTAGATAATGGGAGGCCAAACATGAATATTCATGATGGGCGGTTCCAGTGAAATGGCAAAAGCGATTGATTGGCTTGAGCCTCAATATAAGGCTCCTCATCCCGTCCACCAGTCCTTCTGTCCTGGGGTTCGTGGGTCAGGACCTTCCAGAGCTCCGTGGTCCTCACATGAGCCTCCCTGTCTGTCTTGCAGGTCGGTGCTGAAGGCCGTGAGGGGGAGAGTTGTGGCACGGTGGGGCTGCTGCTGGAGCACTCCTTTGAGATCGGTGAGTCCCGAAACACCTGCTGCAGGGTGAAACAGGTGGGAGCCTGACAGTCATTTACTAACAGCCTTGCCCGGGGAGGTGAAGGTCACACAGGCAAAGAGCTGCCTTGCCTTTAACTGCCCCAAACCTGCGGGACCGTCCCAGCCTCCGATGGCACGGAAGTAGTGATTGCAGAGCAGATTCTTCTAAGCATCGCCTCATGGCCTGTGCTAGCACCTTGGGCGTTTTGTGTGTCACCTCAGGACAGTCGTGCAAGGTGGTAGGTGTTAGCCCCATTTTCCGGGCTCAGTAGGCACCTCACAGGGCCCCTTGGTCAGCGAGTGACAGAGCTGGAACCAGGTCCCAAGCCCAACCGAAACAATGACAACAGGTACAGTCAGCCCTTCCGGGGCCCAATAATGGCATAAAGCCCCGCTTGGTGTAGTGAGTCTGGGTCCCTTGTCAGACTCTGGTCAGCCAGAGGAAACCGAGGCTCGCAGTGGTCATGTGACTGTCCGTGGCCACCTAACAGGTAGGGGTGGGCCTTGGGAGCTCTGGGGTTCATGTGTTGGCTTTGCTGCCTTGGGAAGCAGGAGGGCAGGGCACGATGGGAGTGTCGTTGCGGAGCACATGGGAAACTAGGGGCTCAGGGTGAAGAAGCCACTTGGTCCCTCTCTAGCCGAGGGCAGGTGAAGGTCTGAAGCCAGGTCTCCTGGCCCCTGCCAGGGCTGTAGGTCGTGACAGGGGGGTCACTGAGTTCAGGCTCTCTGCAGATGACACTGCCCACTTCCGGAAGCGGGGCTCGCTGCTGTGGAACCAGCAGGATGGTACCTTGTCTCTCTCGCAGCGGCAGCTCAGTGAGGAGGAGCGGGGCCGACTTCGGGTGAGGTGGGGACCCCAGGGCTGGGTTGGGCTTGGGGGGCGGCCAGCGGTTTCTCCATTTGCCCACTGTGGCCCCTACATCCTCCCTCCAGTTCCAGGTGAGATCCCAGCACCTTCTGCTGCCCTGTCCCCCCTGTGACCCCCATGGCCACCCCAAGTGCATGGTGCTTGTTTAGCCTTTTTGCTGAGACATGGTGTGCCTGCCTCAGGGCCTCATTCAGGCTGCGCCTGTGCCTGCCCACGGCCCATCTCTCCTCCTTGGGTTTCCCTCCTCAGCTCCTGTCACCTTTTCAGACTCAGCTGGGACTTCCACAGTTGTTTAGACCGAGTTTGATGTGAGGAGAAAGATCCTCAGGATGGCGGTGGTTAGACAAGAGGGTCCACGTGTCACACTGCTTCCTGGCTCCTCAGTCCTGGTCCTTCCGGGCCTGGCTCTGCCTGCGAGCCCCTTCCCCAAAGCTGGTACAGTCCAGTCCCACCCGCTTCTGTGGACACATGGCGCCCTCCCTGGGGAAGAGGTCAGGGCCAGGTCTGTGCAATCATGACTCTGTCCCAGCTGCCCCCAAAGAGAGCTGATTGCTCATGGAGCCGAGGAGTCTGGGTGTGGAGCAGGTGCAGGTGGGTGGCCCAGTGGGCAGGCCCCGGGTGGACTCAGCCAGCCAGGGCAGTAGGTGTGGGGTTTGGAGTGGGGGTGGGCAGGGAGGAGCCTTCTTGATAGAGGCCCCATGGCGCTGTCTCTCACGGCTCCCTCCCTGTAAACCCTGCAGGATGTGGCAGCCCTGAACGGCCTGTACCGCGTGCGGGTCCCCAGACGGCCCGGGGCCCTGGACAGCTCAGAGGCCGGTGGTTATGTCTTGTCCTTCGTCCCTGCGGTGAGTCAGTGATGTGACCACCCTTGCCCTTGTTCCCTGCCTGCCTCAGTCCCCAACTCCCAGCCACCTTGGCTGCGAGGAGGGCCGGAGGCCCCAGGCCTGTCCTGGCCCTAGGTGGGTGGCTCTGGGGGCTCAGTCCGGGGTACAAGTTTCCTGGGGGAGGCAGGGAGCCGAGAGGGCTTTAAAAGCTGCAGGGGGCCTGACTGCACTTCGCCCACTCCAGTGCTCCCTGGTGGAGTCGCACCTCTCCGACCAGCTGACCCTGCACGTGGATGTGGCCGGCCATGTGGTGGGGGTGTCCGTGGTGACGCACCCCGGGGGCTGCCGGGGCCACGAGGTGGAAGACGTGGACCTGGAGCTGTTCAACACCTCGGTGCAGCTGCGGCCGCCGGGCACCGCCCCGGGGTGAGTTGGAGGGAGGCCGGCCCTGCGCGTCCATCAGTGGAGGGCTGCTTCTGGTCGGCCCCTGACCGCAGCCTCCGCCTTTCCTCCCCTACAGTCCCGAGACCGCGGCCTTCATCGAGCGACTGGAGATGGAGCAGGCCCAGAAGGCCAAGAACCCCCAGGAGCAGAAGTCCTTTTTTGCCAAATATGTGAGTGGGGCATCCTGGCCTCCCCTCTTCCCCACGGCCCTGCCAGCCGCCTCCGCTGCCCACACGCTGTGCACATCCATCCTGGGCCCAGTCCGCCGGGTGGAGGCACTCAGGGCCGTGGACCCCTCCCTGGTTGGCTTGTGAGAGTTGTCCCTGAGCTGGGGGCACAGAGACCCAGGTGTTTGTGGGCCAAACATGGAGGGAGTGACCAGGCAGGGAGAGACAGGCTGGTGGCCTCACCCGAGCTGGGCTCCAGGAGGCAGGACATAGGGGTACAGAGGACTGGACCCCCAGGAGGCTGGGCGCTGGAGGAGTCCAGAGATCATGCTTGACCTTGGCAAGGGTCGGCAAGGCCAGGCTGCCTGAGGGCTGAGTGGGTGCTGCCGGCCTGGGAAGCCCTGAGCAGCCCACCAGCTGAGCCATGGGAACGGAGGCCCAGAGAGGCCCTGCCACGTGTTGGAGGGCCCTGCTGACCCGTGCCCCTCCCTCCTCAGTGGCACCTCATCCTGGGGGGGGCCGTGTTGCTCACAGCCCTGCGTCCTGCTGCCCCGGGGCCCGCGCCGCTGCCGCAGGAGGCCTGAGTGAGGACCGAGACCCCTTCCCGCCTCCCGCCTGTAGTGACGTAGGGAACTCGGCCCCCCGCGCGGCCCCCTCGTGCCGGGCCCCTTGCAGGCA